CTCTTAACCATTCTTTGTGTTACTAAGCTGCTAATATGTAGAAAGTCACCATTTCCATTTTTGGGGTTTGGCCACACCAGCAGTATCCAGAGGTCACTCCCAGCAGTGCTGGGACCTCCAAGAGTCACCGAGCAATGTTCACCACATGCACCAAGCATGACTCTGGCAGTTCTGCTTAGATCCCGGGACAGCACCAACACGGTGACTTAAGTCCACAGCACCCTCCACCCCAGCCAACACTGTGACTAGAGAGACACATGGCCAGTGAGACCAGGAGCTTGACCACAGAGCACACTACACCAATGGAGGTCGGACCCCATCCTAACAACACCGTTGTACACTGAGGGAAGGAAAAGTACATAAATGAGTAAACTATGAAGAAGAGCAAAAACTAGTTCACATTTCATAGGGACGATTTCTATAAACCAAAAACATCCTCCAGTCAATTATAGTACCTCAGTAGATTATGGTGCCTTTCTGACCCCATCCCCACCCACCCCAAAGATAAATGGCTGCTCAAACTCACCAGAATCCAGATTTTTCTCTGTATCACTCGGACTGGGAACCACCAAACTTGCAGGAATCTCAGTTTTGAGTGTCTGCTGTGGCACTGGTTTCCCACGGCTGAATTCAGGATATAAGATTCTCATCAAGGATTAACACCAAAACTGAGTCAAGAAGAAAAGGACCTCTGCGGGCTGAGTCAGAGAGGATGGGGACATAGCTCCAAGGGCTGGAGATTATACCCAATTCACTTTAGTGGAAAGACTCTCCCTCATAAAGAGAATGATGTCTCTGCTCTTTGGGTCACCAACTCTGTGCCTTGAACTAGGCGGGAACTCCGGTGCACTCTGCAGAGTGATGTCACATAAGTCGGTGAGCACAGACCCCTACAGAGTGCTAGCCACGAACATTACTCAGACTTGGCTACGCTGCTGCTTCCAAGAATTCTGCTAGAGTCTGAGTGTCTGTCCCCGCTCCAACTGCACCATTACATATGGTGTGAGAATGTGTGTCCTTTGGGGAATGAATAGGGGGTTATAAATGAGATTCTAGAAAGATCCCCCGGCCCCTTTCTGCCATGGAAGTAAAAAGAGAAAATGCATGGCCCCTCTTTAGGTGGTTGACGTTATCTGGGTCCCTGCTCTTGGACTTCCCAGCCTCCAGAACAGAAGGGCACAAGTAACGGTGGTTTTGAAGCCACCTGGTATGTAGAGTTTGTTACAGCACCCTGGAGGCAGAGACAGGTTCCTCCCTGTGCATCCCGGGAGAACTGGCTGGAGGCTCTCTTGGTAGTGGGTCCTGCAGAAGGCCTGCAAGTTAAAGACCACTCAAGGAGGGGAGTTCACACACTGTATCTTTCCAACAGAGCGCACCCCTACCTGGGTTTATCACAACCAACTGGGCAGTTTTCTACTACCAAGGCCATGCCTCAGCCTGGAGCTATGGGCTCAAATCTTAGGTGATCTGAATGCAACCCCTGGGCGGAAGCCACTGTCTGATACTGTAGAGGATGCTGGGGAGGAGGGGATGAACACTGGCCACTACAGCACTGCCCCACTGAGCCTGTCCTCATTCAAATCTGTTTGAAAGGGGGTTGTTTTTTCGGTATTGGGATAAAGTACACCCAACATGCAAGTTTCCATTTTAATCTTACTGTTCAGTGGCATTAGGACATTCATAAGACCTTCACTCTTTTGCAGAACGTTCTCATCATCCCCCAGCTGAAGCTCCATGGAACATGGAATTTCCATTTCCTTTTACTCACAGCTGCTGCGAAAGACCACCATTCCACTCAGGTATTCACAGAAGTAGTTTTTCTTCGAGGTTTTTCCAGTTTGTGGCTTAGGTCCAAAATCCATTTTTTTTTCTTTTTGGGTCACCCGGCAATGCTCAGGGGTTTCTCCTGACTCTGCACTCAGGAATTACTCCTGGCAGTGCTCAGGGGACCATATGGGATGCTGGGAATTGAACCAGGCTTGGCTGTGTGCAAAGCAAATGCCATACCCACTGTGCTATTATTCCAGCCCCCCAAATCCTTTCTTTTTAAGGCTGAATATTCCATGCTGCTTTTAAGAAAATTTATTGATCCACTTTGCTTCTCCATCCATCTATGTATCCATGGATGCTCACATTGGTTCTGCCTTTTGGCTATTGTGAATAATGCCACTGCAAACACTGGCAAACAAATAACTGCCCAAGTCCATGTTTATTTTTTTTAATCTTTTGGGCAGATAGCCTGAAGTGGAATTGCAAGATGGTATGTTTAATTTTTTGGGAGACTCATCATAACATCTGAGCTCAGCGCATTCCGCATTCCCATCAGCAACTCATAAGAATTCCAACAAATCTACATGCTCACCAACACTCATCTTTGTCTGCTTCTCTGATAGCAGCTGCTCTAATGGGTGAGTCAGAATCTTTCTTCCCCCAGCACCATACGTCACTATTTATGAATTGATCAATGAGTGAAATGAAAGCTATGTGTTATTTCTAAACCCCAATGATGAGATTTCTACCCTTGCCAGAATGAGCTTCTAATTGTAGGGTTTTCTATTTAGTAAGGGTTCTACTCTTATTGGGACTGGACATGTGGCCTGTCATTTGATATGTGTGAGGAAGAGTACAAAGGGCACTAGAAGGGCAGGCCAGGAGGGCTGCCAGTGTGCAAAGGGCCAGGTGAGAGGAGTGGGACCTGTGAGAGGCTCCCCATCAAATAGCACTGGGAACCAGTTCATGAGCCCAGGACTGGGGTCCAGACTTAAAGTACCGTGTTAAGGCATTTGCCTTGCACGGGCTAACCCAGGTTCCCACGGGCTAATCTCTGGCACCACACATGGACCCCAAGCACCACCAGAAGTGACCCCTGAGTGCAGAATCAGGAGTAAGCCCTGAGCACTGCCAGGTGTGGCCCAAACTATAAGAAAGTCCTGGATAAATCAGCAAATCCAACACCAGAGGGCTGGGGGAGGAGGGAAGCCTCCTAGCTTAGGTGGTAATAGGGTTTCTTTCCCATACTTAATTTTGTTGGTCCTCCTTCTTCTCTTCACCACACTGGTGTCGAAGTATTTATGCTTTCAATGAGCTGGTATTTCTTTCCTTTTGGTATTTCTTCAAGTTAAGGGTTCCAGTATGGCTGAAGGGCTGTTGTTATTGGGACACATGTGAATGGCAGTGCCTGATTTTGTATCTGTGTACGTGTGTGAGAGAGTTTAGGGGCCTACACTCGAAAGCTTACTCTTGTCTTTGTACTCAGGAATTACTCCTGCTGATGCTTGGGTGGACCATATTTGGGTGCTAGGAATCCAACCAGGGATGGCTACATGCAAGACTTACCCCTGAAATATCTTTCAGCCCATAGCTAGTGTTTTTACTTCATTAGATCCAATAGTAGTCTCCTGACACTTCAAATTCTTGTTTAATGTGCTGTCACTGGTGCTATAGTTTGTGCTAATAAAGCCGCATCCATGTGTGACCCACCAGTGGTACATACTAGTGTCAACATGCGAAGGCAGAGGCTCCTTTGGTGGATGGGCACTGAAGATTGCTAGAATGTTCTCAAAGCTGTTACTGGAGATGAAGCAGGAGTTTAAAAAGATTTTGGAAAGAAAGTCAATTTGCTATCTATATTTTTTAAAATTAAGATTAGACCATAGTTTCCACTTACTGAGACAGGACAATAAAAATACATACAAAATTTTTTTAAATGAAAATCATCACTAATTAAAAATCAGTCCAATCTTTTTAGAAAACAATATGGGCATTCCTCAAAAAGCTAGAAACTGAGCTTCCACATGACCTAGCAATACACTTCTGGGAATATATCCCGGGGCCCCCAAAACACAGCAGAAATGCCATCTGCACTCCTATTTTCGTTGCAGCACTATTCACAATAGCTAGACTCTGGAAACAACCCGAGTCTCCGAGGCCAGACAACTGGATAAAGAAAATGTGGTACATCTGCACAATGGAATACTACGCATCCACCAGGAAAAATGAAGTCATGAAATCTGCTTATAAGTGGATGGTCATGGAGAATATCATGCTGAGTGAAATGAGTCAGAAAGAGAGGGACAGACACAGAATTACTGCACTCATTTGTGAGATATTAAAAAACATAGTATGAGACTAATATTCAAGGCCAGAAAAATAACAGGGATCAGGAGGATTGGCTCATGGCTGGAAGCCTGCCACAAGTATGTGGGGGGAGGGGGGCAGAAGGCAGTTAAGATAGAGAAGGGACCAAGGGACCAGTGTGGCATTAATAGAAATGATCAGTCTGGCAAGAACTGAGTGCTGAAAGTAGGTTAAGGTATATACATGATAACCTCTCAGTATCTGTATTGCTGTATTGCAAACCATAATGCCCAAAGGGGGAGGAGGGTGGGAAGAGAGAAGGGGGGGGAGAGGGAGAGAGAGAGAGAGAGAGAGAGAGAGAGAGAGAGAGAGAGGAAAAGTGCCTGCTATCTGCCACACAAGCAGGCGGAGGAGGGGGTAGAGGGGAGGCAGGAGGGTAACTGGGGATGTTGGTGGTGGGAAACGTACTGGTGAAGGGACAGATGTTGGACTAGAGTATGACTGAAACCCAATCATGAACAACTTTGTAACTATGTATCTTGTGATGATTCAATTAAAAATAAATATATTAAAAAATTCCAATTCTCAGAAAAAAAATTCTGAGAACCAGAGGGGTAGTATAGTGGTTGAGACACTTGTCTTGTATAGTGCCATCCCATTAGATTCCTAGTACTGCATATGGTATCTCAAACCACCAAAAACTCAGGAACTTGGCCAATAAAAATCTCTATTTTTATAGGTTCTTATGATCTTTGTAAATTATAACTCATGATTATGTATTGGTTTAATATAGGTGATAATTTAGACATCATGTGAGATTAGAAATAAATGTAAATGTATGAAAGCCATTGTGTTTGCATGTACATAATGAGATAAAACACAATTTACATTTCTAATAACATCCTAGAAGCAGAGGACAAGTTCAGGTATTTCTTATTCCTTCTTTTTATTTAACTCAGAATGCTAATAACAAAAACATTAAAAAAAACAACTCCAACACTTTACTGTTATTAGTTCCTGGTTCATGACACTTGATTCATTATTTCTTCTTTCCAATGTCAAGTAACACACATATTCTAAATGGATCTTAGAAAGTTGTAGCAGGTTTAAAATCTAATTTAGATGCTAATCAAAACCAAGATTCAGTTATTAGTTTTGACTCTAAATATTTCCTCTCACACAAAAGCTTATTAAAACAAATAACCATAAATAGGATAGTCATTAATTCGTGCTCAATAAAATGCCGAAATATAGCACATACATAGAACTGGTGTCTAAGCTTTTATCCTTTACTCTATGAACGTTCATATGATGCCTTGTAGAGTTATGTCATAAACACATTTCTGTATTTCAATATGAGGTCAGTGGAACAGTAAGGATGTAACAGGAAATCCCACGGCAACGTCCACTCATTTAATGGATGCACTTGAGTCAACCCAGACAAGTGTCCTGGGCACTGCCAGCTCACATGTGCCTCTTCAAGACCAAGTCTCTTACAGGGCGAGGTGTGATTCTAGTGTTTAAAGGTATGTTTTTACTTCTGCTTTGTATGAAATAACCCCTTAACTGATCCAACAACTTCAGTTGGTCTTCAATTGGCGACAGTCACTTCCTCCAACAATAAAATAACAGCTGGTTGTGGACAGACAGATTTCCAATATGGCACCACTTGAAACGATCTGCTTCATTTCCTTTTAGTCTTATGTGGTGACATCAGATGTGAACCTGGGTGATGTGCAACTCCACTGGACATTGATGTTTAAATGCCATGAATTAAAAAATGCCTTAATAATGTCAGTATCACTTAATTTCCAGTTCAGGTCCTTTTCCGCATTTAGCTGTGAGTTTCCATGATACCTTCCTTGGTGCCAGCATTTTCAGGAAACATCCACTGCTGGCTGAGAAAAATCTCACGATAAAAAGCCTAGTGTGTCATAAAATCCGAACAAAAGAGCTACTGACATTGGCCAGTCTCAGTGTTGATTCAGGAGAGGATTTTTTCAATTAGCAAATGGTGCCCAAGAACTAGGAGCTTGCTTCTTTCAGGACCCCCAGGGGGCTTCTCTGGCTTCCCTTTGCTGGGTTTCTAAAAGGCAGCTACATGCTCTATCTTAAAGGTAACCTCCCCACTACCATTCAGTTTCTATTTTTAAAAGCACCACTCTAATGGGAGCATCCCTGCCCTGAATTAAGCTGGGACTGAGAGCTTTACCACTAGCTTGTGTCACAGAGTTTAGGTTAATTTGGTAGCTATTGATAGCCTTGCCTACGACTTCTAAGAGTTTCTTTGGCTTCTGGACACATCAGATTTCTACCTGGGCTGTAGATGTGGGTAAAATATCCCATGCAGAACTCCTTCAATAACCACGTTGGGAAAATCTGGGAAAACAAAAGGAACACAGCTTTTTAAAATGCACATTGAAGGAAAAAATAATACAGATATACAAGCAACTGAACAATGTAAAGAAAAGTATTTTATTGCTTTTCAGCATCTCCCGAGGTCAGGCTGACTCTTAGCTGGGAATCAACATCCATGGGTGGGAGAATGTGCTATCCGTCACGCTGGGCTGTGTCCAGCCACCAGGACCGTGCGGCCAGATTTGTAGCTTATTGATTTAAGGGATGTTCTAATGGTGAATGCTGCTGGGCCTCAGTTCTTTTATCTGAATGTTTTCTCACAAGGAAGATGGATTACACTGGCAATTCAATTTCTAACAAAATCTCAATACACTTGCAGGAATTCCAAGATTTCTATGGGGAATACTTTGCTGCAGTTTTTCCGCTGTGGTTTACAGCAGCCTGTAGTCCAAGTTGTCATGAGGGGGCTTGTTCTATTGTCCTGGCTTCTGGAGAACAGTGAGATGCGAGGCTGTCTTCCCAACTTAAGGAGGCACACTGCGACAAAATGCCATCCTGTCAAGCTTGAAAAATCAGTTACATTCTTATAGGAGATACACGAAGGAAACGCAGGGGTATCGGGTGTGCTGGCTCCTGTCCCAGGAGTCAGAGCAGATAGAGGGGGGCTGACTAACTTAACAGGGGAACTCATCTTTCAAGTGGTTCAGGATTTTTATGTGTACACTTCAACTAGCACAGCATCAGAATCCAGGATCAGTGCTAAGCCCACTGCTTTAATATGCTCTTATACTTGTGTAAAGCAATACAGTAGCCTAATAGTTGAAGAAGAAAGACTGTGCTCATTTAGTGATCCAACCTCTAGAGTGCTTGCTCTGTAAAATCACTCCCATGGGCATTGGGTGCCATCAGGAAGGGTTGGAACACGAGGAGAGGGGCAGCCCAAGAAAGGGGCACTGGCTCACACCTGGTCAGAAAGGGCGGGAATTCTGGCTTTGTCTGAAAAGGAGTTCAGAGTCTAGGGAAGGATTTTCAGTGGCGTGAGACAGAAATGAAAACAGGGCTTTGAAAAGATGATGCTGGCTGTCATTCAGAGAACGAGCGGGAGTGAGTTCAAAGGGATGATGAACAACATGTGCCTAGTGAGGGATTTCATAACCGGGGCTGCCTGGTAGGGCGTTGGCAAACTCAATGGATAAAAGAAGGGCTTAGCACATGGCAGGTACCAACTCCATGAGGTTCCAGGTACTTACTGTCTAGTTACTGGGTATGTAAGTAACTGTTCTGGCACACACCATGCATTTGCATGCCAGCCTGGAGACAAGCAAATGAATAAAAAAAAAAGATTTTATGGCATAAAAATATTTCCATATGTGTATTCAGTTACTTTTGGTGAATGACAGTAGATTTATTTCTTTCTTTCTTTCTTTCTTTCTTTCTTTCTTTCTTTCCTTTCTTTCTTTCTCTCTCTCTCTTTCTTTCCTTCCTTTCTTTCTTTCTTTCTTTCTTTCTTTCTTTCTTTCTTTCTTTCTTCTTTTTTTTTTGAGGGAAGGTTACACCCAGTGGAGCTCAGGGGCTACTCATGGCTCTGTGCTCAGAAGTGTTCCCTAGTGTTACTCAGGGGACTGGATTGGGGTCAGCAGCATGCATGGCAAGTTACTTAACCACTTTACTCTCTCTCTGGCTGGACACTTGATTTCTTGATGATTACTCTTTTTTTCAATTAGCAATAATCACGCCTCGGATAAACCTCACTGGATACAATACTGCCACTGCAAGCTACCCATGATGTATTCGATATGCCAAACACAATAACAACAAAGTCTTCAATGGAGACGTTACTGGGCCTGCTCAAGCAAATTGATGAACAACGGGAGGACAGTGACAGTGACTCTTTTTTGTTTTGAGGCCACACCTGACTGTGTTCAGAGCTTTTTAATCCTGGAGGTGCTTGGAGAGCCATATGAGGTTCCAGGAATCAAAACCTGGTCAGCCACATTGCAAGGGAAGTGCCCTGCCCATTGTACTATCTCTCCATTCCCAACCTTGATTATTACTTTTATCCAACATGAATTGACATATTTTTTATTAAGCATATCTTTTGCAATACCTAGAAAATACTTATACACTCAGATAGCCTTCAAAAGCAATGATTTCAATTTTAAATATAAATGATTTCAATTTTAAATATATTTATCCCACACAGAAGTGGTTCTAACACTAATAGCCAGAAGAGAAGCTGTTGATTAAATTGAAATAAAATGCCCACAAGGGCATCTGGCGTGCACGAGCATCTCTGTCTTTCATCCTGTGCAGCCTGAACATGAAAGTCCATCTGACGGCTTGTGAGAAATGACCTCATGCACAAACTCAGCTTTAATGGAGTCAGAGAAGTTAGCTCAGAGAAAAAGTACCAAACAGAAAATGACACTAAATACTGTGTCATTATGTATCACTGTAAGGAACAGATCAAACAGTGGTTTAAGGGCAAGGGGAAATCAAGCAGAATCTGGGTCTGAGAGTGGCAGGGGCCTGGGTCTGGTGGGGCCACATGAATGGAGACACTGTCAGCATGAGGGCTTGTGGGCCATGCAGAGCATGCCCAGGACCCAGAAGTACTATCCACTAAGTGCTGAGCATCTGCTAGATGCTGGAGGCTCATAGGGAAGAAAGGGAACTACAAAGGGATTCTGTGATCACCATCATAGAAGCAGCAAGAAGCAGGTACCAATAAAACTATTTTAACCTAGTGGTATTTTTAAAAGCTAGTGACTGACGATGTGATAGTCTGGTTTAGTCTTTTTTTTTTCTGTCTACTTTCAGTTTTGGACTTTGACTTCTTTACGTGTACAACTGAAGACAATGGCTGTCACTGCTCGACCGACTGAGAAAATGGCCCAGGGCTTTGTTTCCTGCTGAGGGCTGATGAGCAAGCATGTGAGGGAGGAGAGCTTTGCTGCTGTTCCTTCTGGTCTCCATCTGTTTCTGAACATTGATTGTTAACCATGAGAGGAAGAGCATGGGGACACCATGCATGCAGGGAAAACCCAAGGAGACAAGACACTAGAGCCCCGAGGAAGTGTCCTGAGAAGAGGAGGGGGTCTAGGACTGTCTTCATGGGAGCTTCCAGGGACTGGGGAAAGAAAATAGAAGGAAAGTGGGAGAACCCACAGGAGGTGTTTGAAGAAGAGTGGTCTAAAGCGATGGTAGGTCAAGTAGAAGGAGGACTGACCCTGACACATGACATTGAAGTTTAGTCACAGTGTGGTCGTTTGGAACCTCAACTAGGGTTGCCATGAATCCAGAAAAATTAAAACCACAGCCCAAGTGAATCTGCTGAGAACAGTGTTCACTTAGTAGCATTCTACAAGAGAATACAACTGAAGGTTGGACTGTGAGATACTCCTCTCCGAGTCTGTGAAGGATACCACTGAAGGCTGGAGCCTTAGAGAGACACCTCTGTCTGACTCTGTGGGCCACAGCACGTGGAAAAGTATCCACACAGTCAACAGCTTCTCAGCAGGAATCTCAACACCGATACAGCAAAAGAACCTGAAAATGTGTTGCAAGTAAAATCCATGTCTAAATGCAATAGACCTATATGATTAGAACACAATATGTCAAGTAGATTTTTCCTTTATGACACAGGGTTGGTCAGAAAAGAAATCTGCTCACAATACCTGGTTCCCTTTCTGTCTTCAAACTTGAGACTTCCATTTCCTCTCAAAGAAGAATCTCATTTTTGTTAGTCACTTCACCCATGCTGACATTCTACTAGATACGTGTGTGTGTGTGTGTGTGTGTGTGTGTGTGTGTGTGTGGTGTCTGGGCCATACCCAGTGGTGTTCAGAACTTACTCCTGTTTCTGCTCAGAGATCATTCCTGGTGGTGCTCAGATCATCATATGGGGTGTCAGGGATCAAACCCAAGTCTGCCATGTGCAAGGCAAATGTCCTGCTTGCGATATTATGTCTCCAGCTTCAAAGGACACCTTTGTCTAGAGCCAGATATTGGCCCTTCAGCTCTTTCCTCCCGTTGTTCATCGATTTGCTCAGGTGGGCACCAGTAAGGTCTCCATGGTGAGACTAGTTTTTACTGTTTTTGGTATATCAAATATGCCACGGGGTGCTTGCCAGTCTCTGTCATGTGGGTGAGATACTCTCGGTAGCTTGCTGGGCTCTCCGAGAGGGGCAGAGGAATTGAACCTGGGTCGGTCGCGTGCAAGGCAAATGCCCTACCGGCTGTGCTATTGCTCCACCCCAGTAATATGAATATTGGCTAAATATAACATTTTGTCAACAGAGTATCTACAAGAGTAACAGATGTTAAATGTGGAAAGCAAACACTCGAGAAAGGCAATTATTTCTCAGAGTTTTCCAGGAAAATTGCAGTTAGGACCATATTTCTTATGACGCTGATGGAGGTGCTAAGAATGGTCCCTCACAGAGCAGGTGTCTAGCACACCATCCCTCCAACTCCACCAGTTCATTGAGTTTTCTGAGCACATGTGTGCTGGCCGCAGAAGACATTCCCTTTCTCTTGCTGACTGCCTTAACATAGATATAGTTTCAACCCATCATTGATCTATAGCTTCTATGCTACATGGTCAAAGAAACAAAGACTGACCATTTGCTATAGGCAAAGAGCATAGAGGGAACAACTATACAAAAAGGGTACAATGATTTGTATGAGGCTAGGAAAGTCGGGGACCTTCCTGAAGTCCATCAGAGAATCATGAGACCTAATCTGCCCATTTCCTGTGAGTATGAAGGAACGATATAGCGTCTGACACTGTGGCTGTAAAGGAAGATTGAATGTAACACATTGACAAGATGGCCAGAAAATGTGAATTTCATGGCACAAGAAAGGATTCAGGATTAAATGCGGATGACATTTGTCATTTGTTTGTTTTCCGCATATACCCAGTGGTGTTCAGGGGCAATTCTGAATTTGGTGTTTGTGGGTCAGGGCAGAGAGAACGTGCGGTGCCAGGGATTGGTTCCGGGTGTGTGGTGAGCAAAGCACGCACGCTTACACTAGTCCTTTAAGCTACCTCTATGGTCCTGGCATTTATGTTGAAATTAATTACACCAACTTCGGAGGTCTTGGGGGAAAGTGCACAGGAAGTAGGGGGTGATGTTCAGTGCTAGGGAAAAAAAGTATCCCTGGTAGAATGTCAATGTGGATGAAATGAGTCATGAAAAGGGGATTCTTGTTTGGGAGCACAGCCGTCTTAATGTGAGTGGGGATACACACGTCATGTACCTCCCCAGCTTGAGTTAAGGAGCATTAAAAAACAAACCAACAAACAAAGGCTTCAGATCCAAACGCTATCACACAGAAAAATACATGGAGGGCAAAATAAAAGCACCCCCAGAAAGTGAAGACCACAAATTACTTTCCCTCCTACTACTCCAATTCAAAAGAGCCTGGTCACAGGGAAAGAAAAATTACATTTCCTCCTTAAAGGGCTGCCCCAATTAAAATTCTAAATGTCTCTCACACCAAGAGCATGGTTTATTGGCAGATTATTAAGCCCTGGACCAATGTCACTCTGTTAGACCTGTATTAAAAACGTGGCTTCCGTGGCGCAGGGTCAGATCAGTAAAGAGCTGTTAGCAGATGACAGCTTTGATTACCGCGGGCTGCAGGCAAGACGTATGGGTCCCTGAGGAACAGCAGCACCGGCTGGTGGGACAGTTTGCTGGAAAGGTCAAGAACAAGCATGTCAGCATCAGGGGACGACGGTAAACAGAAAACACTACAAACTAGCTTTGAGGGGATCAGACTGCAGTGTGGGGATGGCTCGGGGCCTGCGTGTCTCCCTGTGTGGGTGAAGAACAGCAAAGGGAGTTGGGGAACCAACTCTGCAGAGCTCCTGAGCCAAACAGTCCTTGGAATTCAAAGCCGAAGGACCAGCTACACAATAAGTCATTACTGAAAAGTGCTTTGATTTTGATTTTTGGTCACATCCGGTTGTGCTCAGGGGTGATTTCCAATGATGTTCAGGGAATTATAGGTGATGCTGGGGAACAAGCCACAGCTTGGGGTTGGCTGCAGTCAAGGCAAGCATCTTATTTATTTTTTTGCTTTTTGGGTCACACCCAGCTATGCACAGGGGTTACTCCTGGCTCTGCACTCAGGAATTACTCCTGGCGGTACTTGGGGAACCTTATGGGATGCCAGGAATCAAACCCGGGTTGGCCAAGTGCAATGCAAACACCCTACCCTCTGTGCTATCGCTCCAGCCCCAAGGCAAGCACCTTAATCTCTGCTCTCTGTCTCACCTATGCTTTAATTTTATTTCCTAAAAGCTGGTAGAATGATTATTTACAAAAAAAGTAAATTTTGGGGTTGGTGTTTGGACCACAACTGGCTTGGAGGTTGTTTCCAACAGGGCCAGAGATTGAACCCTGCCTTCCTGCTTGCAAAGCACACACTCAGCCCATTGAGCTATTTCTAGATATGCAGAAAAGCAACACAGGGTTCTTATTCCTTCAGATGAGTAAGAGTAAATGTAACTTGTTACTCAGGTCCTGTTGACAACTTATACACTTTTCAAACAAAGGCTTAAGACATTAAAAAAATAATAATTTTAGTCACCGTGATTTACAATACTGTTAATGGTAGGGTTTCATGTATTACAACTCCTGAACCCCATACCCTCTGGGTACCCCCAATCCCCAAACACTCTCCTCTCCTCATCTTCCCACCACAGTCAGTTCAGTTCTGTAGAGCAGTTCTCAGGTTTCTGCTGCACTTCTCCATTTGTTATTTCCTTACTATGCTTTTTCATAATTTATATCCCACATTTATGAGAGATCATTATGGATCCTTTTCTCTCCGGTTGACTCCACTTGTCATGATGCCATTCGGTTCCAACCATGTAGTGGCAAAGTACATGACTGTGCTTTTTCTTTGAGGTGAGCAGTATTCTATTGGATGTATGTGTACCACAGTTTCTTTCTCCAGCTTAACTAAGGCTTTTGCCACCTGGACCCCGGTCACTCACTGTGCTACACACAGCCCCAGCACTGTTCTTGGTCTGTGTTACTTGGAATGGGTGAGTCCTGCACTTACCTTGACTCTTCAGATTCCATCTCATCAAAAGATCTAAAATGTTTTTAATTTAAGAAAGAAAGAAAGAAAGAATAAAACTCATATTAGTTGTATTAGTGTTTATACAACAAAATAAAAAACAACTGATATTCTTAGACATGTGATTAGGGAGATATGAGGAAGAGACTTAGATGTTCTCACAAGCCCACAGCATGGCTGGTGCCTCATCTGAAGGAATCTTGAAATTCTCCCCCACCAAGAAAAATGGGGATTACTTCTCCATTTTCCCATTTCCCTAGTGGTAGATCTCATTATTTACTTGAATAAGGCCCTGGGCCCAATGTCTGACACTAAAAGAAACAAAACAAAACAAAATCAAAAACAACTCTAAAGTCTACTTTGGAGCTTACATAATAAAGAAGGTTTTCAACTTGCGGATAAAATAATATGCCTGGATCCTCAGCGGACAGGTCTGAGGCCCTTCCCCTGAGTTCCCGAAGATGAGGTGGCAGAAGTGGGTGGGGAAAGGGAGCTTCCCCTGGAAAGTTTGGGCTTTTGTCACCTACGACATGAGCTACCTGGAGAAAGGCACTTAATTCCCAGGTCTGTTTGCTACAGAATCAAATCTCTCTGGTCACAGCTTTTATTTCTAATTTTTTAAAAAAAATTTTATTTTTAATACTAATTTTTAATTTTATTAAATCACCATGACATAAAGCATTACAAAGCTGTTCATGATTGGGTTTCAGTCATACAATGTTCCGACACTTACCCTTCCACCAGTGTAATTTCCCACCACCAATGTCCCCAGTTCCATCCGACCCCCACAAACCACTCCCCACCCTAGCCTGCCTCCACTTAGAGCTTTTAAATAACACTAATACATGTGCCCAGGGAGGATGATTCTGCTTAAACATTCACAAATAAAAAATTGTTATAAAATTTTAGATTATTAATTTCCATACCCTGACATCACACATGTGATGGTGTAATTTTAAAGGTTTTATTCCTTAAGTGGAAGTATGAGGTACTATGTGTCGGTCACTTGGCTACAATCTGAAGAGGACTAAAAGGAATTCCTTTGGTTACAGGCAGGGGGCAACCAAGGGCTGTCCCCTGATGAAGGAATGGGCGTGGCCATCCTGGCCCTTCCTGTAACATCACTCAGGCTTATGAGTCAAAACACCGATGGAAGAATAATATGAAATACATGCCCAATACATAAAAAATTCTTACCCACAGCTCTCTGCCTTTGGGAGAGAGGGCAAGTGTCGTACATTTAGGAAATCAAGAAACAGCTTTGGAAGTTCCTCATTTTCTAAAATGACAGCCTGGGAAAGGAAAAAACAGAATTGAACTAGTGTGGTGTACTTGGCAATCCATCAAACAAACAATTTCAAAAAGTCATAAGCATCCATCAAAGCTCTCACCAGTTTCATTCCTCACATCAGCATGAGGAATGGTCCCCTCTTCACCCACTAAGAATTGAAGTTGCGTCAATGCTGAATTTTACCTGTTCTCATATCCAGCCAGACGGAGCAAGCACTACTTCAGTGTACAAGATGGTAAGGAGCGGAAAACATGCTTTCACGGAGAGTCTAACACTGGTCAATGCTTGAAAAACCTGGGAACCTCCACAGCACTGCTCAGGAATGTACCTCAAAATGTCCTTTCAGAAAAATAAAATGGTCCAGTACTATGTGTGTGTCCATTTATCTGCACACAAGACCACTACTGTTTAGGAAATATTATAAATGACTTTTCTAATGAAGAGTTAGTCAGGATCCCATACCTATCATCATCATGGCATCTGGATCAACTCTCATTTATTGCTATTTATTTCTATATATTTATTTTCTATTTATTGCTATTTCGACAGCTCCACTTAAAGACTCTGTAAGAACTTTCCCACCCAGATCTCTTAAAACAAAATCTGTAGAGTTCATTCATTTAGGGAGTTCTGCTAAATAGCTGGCATAATAGCATGACCATGTCAGCTCTCAGATGCACAAATTATGCAATTTCAAGGATAAACCTAATGGAGAAATGGTGCATTGTCATATATATTCATTTTTAAGAATACAATGCTCACTGCCAGAGAATGCAGACTGACTGATGATTTGGGTGCCCCCATCTAGTCCTCCTGCCTTTTTAAACAAAAGCCATAGAAAAGGTACTAAAGACTCCAACAACCTCTAAAGGATTCTATCTAAGAATCATTTCAATCATTTCCCACCACTTTCTCCCCCTCAATAAGTTTGTGTTAAGAGCGACAAGACTTGAATGTGGACTAACATTCACACGCTCAGAAATAGGCATGCAAAGTGGTCACCCGACTGATTACAAAGGGAGGGCTGAGTTCCCTGTATTCTGCACAGAGAGAGCACTGCAGGTTTTATAAGGAGGAGTAATTTACATCCCTGCCCCATACTTGCATGGTTGTAGAATACTGTCCCCAACATCATCATCATCTCAGTACAATACCAAGGGCTCAGCCCCTGGAGGGGTCACCTGGAAACCCCGCATGGAACTTTGCCATTGCTCTCATAGCCATGCTTCCCACAGAAGCTTGGGGAATAAAAGAGAGAGAGAGAGAGAGAGAGAGAGAGAGAGAGAGAGAGAGAGAGAGAGAGAGAAAGGAACGTTCTTGATTTATTCTTTATTCTGTAGACACAAACAACTGGGTACTTCTTACATTAGTCTGAGCTATGGCAGTGCATGGGGTCCATAGAGAGTGGGCTGATGGCAGTTAGCAATAAGTGAAGAACATACGTGGAAAAAAGACTTAGTTTAGAATATTGAGACATGGAATAAAAAACCTCTATCCTTCTCCAAATGTAGTCCAATTCCCTTACCTATGCCCCAACACATCTACCCATCATTTCACCCAAAAGGTTTACTTTAAAGAAAATTTATATAAATGAAAAATATAAATTTATATAAAATATAAATAAAATATATGTTTATATATGTTTAGTTTTGGGGCCACACCTGGTGGTACTCGGGGGTTACTCCTGGCTCTGTACTCAGGAATTACTCCTGGCGGTACTCAGGGGACCATATAGGAAGTCAAAGATCGAACCTGGATGGACCACGTGTGAGGCCAGCACCAGACCCGTTATACTATCTCTTTGGCTCCCACTCCTTTTCTTATCAAAATAGAAATATGAAAATTTCAAAAAGTTCCCATAGAAAAACCTTCTATACCTGAGGCTGAGTCAGAGTTTCATTACTCTTTCAGTTAATTTCTTCCAAATTATTTGATCTTCATCTAAAGCTTTATCCACCTGAGAGAACTCTGTGGATTCCCAGAAGGTAATTAATTCAGTACCCGGGACATTCTAAGAATTGTCATGTGTAAGACGTTCAAATGATTTTCTTTCTGCCAAAACGAGTCACAATGATTATCTAGCTATTTGTTTCTCAATGCTTATGTAAAACGGTGATATAATATCTATCTGAATAATAAAGCTTAACATAGTAACAAATATGGAGCTGTTTGCTCAGGCAATACTTTTAATTATGTGTACAAGAAGTAGTTTTCAGATAAAAAAATGGGGGGGCATTCTTATCTCCACCCCCACCTTTTAAAATAAATTAAATCAATACCAAGTGTGGGACACTTTTAATGACCTGAACTACTTAATTTCCAGGATCTTTAGACATGTCATCCATCACTGCAGTATGGAGGAAGACATCTCTTGAGTGTTCAGGGGGTTACTTTGGTTTTATTAATGCAAGATTTAGGGAATTTTAACAAGGTGAATTGTTTATTTGCCTTGACAGATTGGCTTACAATGCACTGGCAACATCTACAGCATGATCATTAATGACAAAAGACAGGCAAAAAGCTGTTTACACTGCAACACCAGGTCAGGAATTAATCCTGTTCAGTCTCTGCAAGCATGGTACTCCAAATAAAGATGATCCCATTATTTTACATAAGATACAGTCACAAGAAAAATATAGAAACTCCAGGCATTTGTGAGCACTTTGTTAAATGTTCACTGAATATTCTGAAATCATATTTACCACAAAGAAAAGAACCCCATGGATCTTAGGATGGACAATTTTAAAGGAAATAACACTGGGATGGGGGTGAGTAAGCACTCAGATCAGGGGTGGGAATGTTCCCTAACAATGTTCCCTGTTCAGAAGGCTGGTAAGAAAATAATACTTTAGTTCAAATAGAGAGTCTAAATGAATTTACTTAATTTAACATAGTATGTAAAAAATGAAAAATGACCATTAATTAGGACAGAAATACAGAGAAAAATTAGTCCAACCAACTCTTCTGGCTCCTAAATGGATACTTTCATTCAATAAGACGAAACAAGTGGTGGCTGGTGTGTGTGTGTGTGTGTGTGTGTGTGTGTGTGTGTGTCATTTTCACAACCAAATCTTCTGGCTCCTAACAAGTGGTGGCCGGTGTGTGTGTGCGTGTGTGGCATTTTCACAACCAACTATTTAAATCTTCTCCAATTTCAGGAGCTTTTGCTCAAGAAGAACTTCCTGGTGCACTCTGAATCATTCCTACTCTATTCAGTGGATAAATAGACACACACTCTCACTCTCTTTCTCAAATGGGGTGTTGGGAGTTAAACCTAGGTCAGTCTCATGCAAGGCAGGCACCCTACCTGCAGAACTATCACTCTGCATCTGCATTCCTCACTTTTTTTCTTTGGTGAAGCATGACGGTTTTACTGAAACTTATTTAGAAAAGTGTGAGGAGAAGAGAAAGGGAGAAGTGTGTGTTCATGAGAGAAGACAGACTTCTCCAGAGTGGAAACAGGCAAGTAAAGAAACCCAGAGACAAGCCCGTGAGATACACACTCAAGGGAGAACACAGGATTACAGAGCACACGTCAATGGATAGAGTCTCATTTAAAGCATACATAAATTCAGGGGCCAGAGAGAGGCTGAATGGGCCAGAGAACAGGTTTTGCCTATGCAAGTCCCAAGTTCCATCCCAGAGAGTCCGTGGTCCCCTGGGCCCTGCCAAGTGTGGAATGCCTGCTCCCCGCCCCCCCCAAAATATACAAATAACATTCTCCCTCCCCAACTTCATTTAACACCATGGTTTACAATGTTGTTCATAACAGAGTTGCTTCGGGCATTCAATATTCCAGCACTAAGTCGTCCACCACCAGTGTGACCTTCCCTCCACCAGTGTCCCCAGTTTCCAACCCATCCCCAAGCCTGTTCTCTTAGCAGACACAAAATTATTTTACATTGCTTATTAGAACACAATGTCAGATGGGCTACATTCTTGTATAACATACCATATTTGCATCATTTTAGCTTGCTAAGCATTACTTCTGAATTCATCTTCCGTGGCTAATCATTCTTTTTTGCGGGGGTGGGGTGGGGTGGGGGGTGGTATGATGGGGTGACAACCGGTGATGTTCATGGATTACTTCTGGCTCTACACTAAAGAATTACTCCTGGTGGTGCTCTGGGGGTTCATATGGGATGCTGGGGATGCTGGGGATCAAACCTAGGTCGGCCACATGTAAGGCAAATGACCTACCCATGATACAAACTCTCTGGCCCCAGCAATAATGCCCTGCCCTGCCCTGCCCCTCCTTTCCCTGCCCTTCTCTTCCTTTCCCTTCCCTTCTCTTCCTTTCCTCCTTCCCCTCTTGCCCCCTCCCTCCTTTCTTTTTATTTTAAGAAAAATTCACTTATTTCAATTTTGGGGGCGAGACTTGGCTGTGCTCAGGGCTTATTCCTCGCAGGCTTGAGGGTACCATATAAGATGCTGAGAATCAAACCAGGGTTGGCTGTGTGCAAGGCAAACACCCTACCCACTCCAGCCCCAACTATTTTCTTTCCTTAGAGAGGCAGTGTGGTGTAGTGAGAGTTCGTCTTAGAGCAAAACCCCGGTGGGAGTGTTTCCTCTGTTTACCTGGAAGGGTTACTGTGCAGCCTGGATGAAAATGACGAGAAAGCGGGGTCATCTGCTTCCTGGAAATAGCACATAATATCATACTTGGACCCACAGTGGCCAGTGCCCACAGTTCCCCACTGGAGACACCTGCTCAGAGCTCCAAGGTGGCCAGGATGATAGGGCACACCTTCCACTTGGAGCCTGAAGCTCAACTGCCAGTTTGCAATGGGCAGGTTAGCCTCCTGTCTCCTCCTTCAGCATCCTGCCTTAGTGTCAATTAGGACCTGCTGGACTGAGTGCGCACCGTCCTGTGATCAGAATTCATGACTGCTCGAGGCTATGGGCCTTGGCGGGGAAATATCTGTCTGGCAGTGAGGCTACCTGGTGAAGGATTGATCTCATAGACCAAGATCAACTGCTGAGCAGGGTGCAGAAAGCTGG